ATAAAGAAGTGTTAATAAATCTTGCAAGAGGAAAATAATATTATTCTAAATTTGATTGTAAATCAGGATTTTGGCAAATAAAAATGGAAAAAGATAGTATACAATATATTGCATTTAGCACATCTCAAGAAAAATATGAATGGTCAATTATGTCATTTGGTCTAAAAAAATGCACAACAAATATATCAAAAAAAGATAGATAATATATTTAAAAATTTTAATGAATTTCTATTGATATGTTCTGATAGTAAAGAAGAACCTAGAAATCATTTAATCCAATTTATTAACGAATGTAAAAAAGAAAGAATTGTACTAACTAAAAAGAAATCTATAATAAAAAACAAGAGATAGACTTTCTTGGATTATCAATAGATAAAAGATGGATAAAATTACAAACTCATATATCCAAAAAAATATAAAATTTTTCAGATAAATTAGAATCTAAAGAACAAGTACAAAATTTTTTAAGATGTTTAAATTATGTAGAATGATTTATTGAAAATCTTTCTAAGAAAAGACATAAAATTCAAGTATGACTTAGAAAAACAAATACTAAATGATATAATGAAGAACATACAGAAATAGTTAAATCATTAAAAGAAGAATGCAAAAATTTACCAAAATTAAGATTACCAGATGAAAAAGATAATTTCATTATTAATACAGATGCCTCAGAAAAATATTAGGCAGCAATATTAAAAACAGATCTAAATGAAATTTGTAAATATTCAAGTGGAACCTTTAACCAAGCAGAAATAAATTATACTACTCATGAGAAAGAATTACTAGTAATTATTAGAGGAATAAAGAAGTTCTCATTATTTTTATTATTCAAAAAATTTACTGTTGAGACTAATAATTTTCAAGTTGCAGGATTAATCAGAAATAAACTACCATCAGAACCCCAATACAGAAGGCTCCATAGATGACAAGTTTATTTAGCATTTTATAACTTTGATATTGTCCATATTAAAGGAGTTAACAATTTTTTTTGCAGATTTTCTCAGCAGAAACATATAATTTGCTATGGATAAAGTCAAAGTCACATGATTATACCAATCTATCCTACATATACTAAAAATGACAGATTTTCTTAAAGAAGAATCTGAAGATATAAACTCTAGAGCTACCCGGATCTCAGAGATGTTCAACTCAAATATAAAAATATTGCTGAATATCACTACTGAGCATCATAAATATGCCATAAAACTCAAAAATCAAGTTGATGCTATTGCAGTACAACTAAAAGATATACTATCCGAGACAAATATACTAAAGAGCTCAGAAATAAGTTTTCCAAACCAATACCAAACAGGGACAGCTGGAAGCAGCATTGGACCCAGACATGACAACATACCAACTGATAATAAAGGAGATTCCATTTCAATATCATCAACCAAAAAAGTTATGATACATGGAGATAAAAGAGATATCAAAACAATCAACATCATATACCAAGAAGATAAAATCCCTTTAGTTCCAAAAGAAGAAAAATATGCCAAAATAGTCAAAATTGCTTATGAAATAAAAATAAGCGATTCATATTTCATCTCTCCGAGAAATAATGTTTATCCCAAAATAACAGCCATGAAAGGAGGAGACCATTCATTTATAAAAATAATGGCAGACTATGGATTCATGGATTTGATATATCCAGGAAAAGATTTGATTGAAATTTCAAAATTTGATGACATATTCATAAAAGAAGTATCCAGATTTGTTAAGGGACGAAAAATATATTTGAAATTCTATTCAATAAGTCCAAAATACGATGGAGTTTCTTACTATCCAATTGAACACATAATCTCAATTAGATATGTTGCAGCCAATTTCCAAATAGATGTTATAGAAAATAATAGAAAAATTTCGACAGTGACAAAATCATGGATCAGACATAAGAGAGCACTTGGAATTAAAGTCATCTACAACATTGCCAAAAATTTGTTTGATAAAAAATTCTCATACTTGTGCCAATATGAAAATTGGATGCTGGTATCCAATGAAGGATATGAAAAATTAGAAATTTTAAAGGATTATATTACAAGATTCGATATACATCAATTTTCAGGATGTCCTACCACTATAAAAGAATCCTGCCAACTAAGGGAGTGCCCCAATTACATGTGAAGAAATAAAGGAAGAAGATAATAATAGAATACCTTTGACAAAGGTGTATGGAGAACAATAATATAGCTGCATGTGAAGACATTGAAGAAAAAGAACAATAATAGAAAAAAATGTTCTTTGGATAAAAAGTTGAAGCAACATGTGAAGATGTAGGCCCAAGGAGGAAAATAATAGAGAGGCAAGTGTGCCTTTGCTAATGTACTCAATGATGTAATAGAGTCTCATAAACTTGTATAAATAGAGACATTGTCATAGATAGAGGATATCTCATCTTATATTGAAATTTCAAGTTGTAAGCAATAGCTACTTTTAAAATCATTTCCAGTTTGAAAAACCAGTTTTTTTGGAAATCCCTTTGTATCAAATAGAAGTCTTGTATAAATTCTGATAGAAATAAAATCCCAAATATTTTGATATCAATAAATGAGTTTCTAAATCTTTATTCCTATAGATTCTTGAAGGATCTAATAGAAAATTTCTTTCTTATTTTAGCCAAAAAAAAAAAAAAAGTTTTTCTTTAACAGAACTCTAGAATTTTATTCTTTAGATGATGATACAATGAGAGCAAGTAGCCAAAATAATAACAATTTCGTGACGACAAGGAAGTTGTCGAAGGAAGCAGTTTACAGATTTAGAGCTCGAAGGTCACTCGGTTCTAAAAATAAAAGTCCAGATCAAACCTAAAGTAAAACTATTAAACTTTTACTAAAATTAAAATGAATCTTTTTAGATCTTAAAAGAATCACAGGGACAATTGCATGATTTAATGATTATTTTTATAAATATTAGGATATACAATTGAAGGATAAGATAATTTATTAGAAAGAATGTTAGAAGAAATAAAAAAATATTATTTCTAGATTAAAAAATACATATTTACCATTTGAAAAATATAGTATTTTAATTAGAAAATATGAACTATATGTTGCAGATTAATCTTATTTATTAGATTATAGAATGAATTTATATTCAAATATTCAAAATAGAAAGTAAAATGTTTAAAAGATTATGATATATGTTGCAATATAGAAAGAATCATTTCATTATGGGTAATATAGACCTTTCAATAAAAAAGAATAGTGATAGGTCAAATAGAAAAATTTCTCATAGAGTTCTTAGTTCTTACATATCCTGATTGAGTTATAGAACTATTAAAAAAAAAAAGGTTGAACCCCAACCTTAAGAGCCCCCACCGACCCTGCCTTGGGCCATCGTGGAGGAGGTAAATCACAGGATGTGCCTCCCAGGAGTCAGGGTGGAGAGCACATGGATAGGTCAAGGCTGTTAACCCATATGGTAACTCCCGCTTGCAACAAAGCCAATTCCACCTTGCGGGAAATCGAACTCTACACACTGCCGCGCTGAGCCCTATCCGCCCTCCCCTTTGCCACTGGGAGATACGCCCTGAGGGCAGTTATAGAACTATTATATATTACATTACATGGTATTCTGTGTTCTGTATGATTTCATGATAATCATTTAAAATGCTCAAAATATTCTTTTGTCAGATTTCTACTTTAAGCTCATTTGACTCTCTGTGATGCTCACGAGAGTGCTTCGTATTGTGTTAAAAGTACTTACTTTAGATATTGTGTGAAGTTAATTTATTGATAAGTGAATGTGTGAAATGTGATTTTTTTGGAGAACGTGATTAAAAAATAATAAAAGTTATTGGGAAATATGAAAAATGATTTCTTTTTTGAGATTGTAGGTGTTAAAAGGATAAAGATACTTGGATCGGGACATGTAGGCCCCGTCCAAACCCAGAGGCGCACCGGACTCCGTCCAACATAACTTGGGTTAAAATGAGGGGAAAGAGTGATTTTTGAAAAAATCAGTTTCATTAAATAAGTACTCTTTCTGTTCCATTTATATAGGTTTGTTTTTTTTTTTTTATACGGATTAAGAAATCTCATTTAATGTTTTTGAAAAAGCAATTTTTGTCGATAGCTTGTTTAGTTTACCCATATTTATATTTGTACAATTTCAAGATGAAGTGAACAAATTGGTTATAATTAAGTAAATTAAATAAAAATATATTAGTAAATGAACAAAATAAAACAAGCTTAATAAAGAAATATATAATTGTATAATTAGGATAAGAAAATAAGGAAAGTAAGCCTATTTGGAGAGTAATTTGTTAATTTTGACTCGATTGGAAATGCCTGATTTTTTTCTGGTATATATAATTACTTATATTAAATTATTAGCAGAAACAGCTTTGCCTCTTTGCTCACTTGCAAGATTCTATGCATATAATTATTAATTATAACCACATGATTGTCACCAAATTATTTTATTGCCTTCTTTTTGACAAAAACCCTTTTTCTACCTTTCAATCAAAGGCTTTAATTACTTGTATGATTTAGTTTTTTTTTGTTGTTAAAAATGCTGTGGTCCTTTTATTCATCACTTAACAATCCGTCTCGAATTTTCCAAAAAATTACGAGTCGAATCGAGCCGAGCACAATCAAGACCTTGTATTTTCTATAAATAGAAGTGTGTATTCATATTTCTCAATTGTAATGTAATGAATGTAGATATAAATCGAACGGCCCAAATGCATCCATTTATAGAAAGATTATGAACACAATGGACTGTAATGAAATTGACTTTGAAAACCCCGAACGGCCTCGTTTTCGCTAGCCATTTTCTTTCTACTTTAATCTCACCCTCTTCCTTCTGACCATCATTATTAATTTTATTAATTCGCTAATTTATTATCTATTTTTACCTAATTAGCAATTTAATAATATTAATGCGTATCACGCTGTGTTTGCTGATTCCTCTTCTATAACTTGATTTTCCACGAAACAAAAGAAACTCTTGGAAAAACAAAGAAAGAAGAAGAGAACCCTGATCAAGTAAGTTTATTCAGCAGATTTTCATCCTGTTTTTGAGTAAATATATGGGCTTTTGTTGAAGTATGAGAAGATTTTAATATTTTTTTCTGCCTTTTGTGTTTGACAATCTGATTGATTTCGAAGTGAATCTGCTGAACAAAAATAATTCAGTGGATATTTGTAATTTGTAACGGTACCCATATATTGGATTTTAAAGCTGTTGGAGATTTTATCTTTTACCCAGTCTTATTGGTTAAATCATGAAATCATATCCCAGATACAAGCATAGCGAGGATTTGGATGTATATTGTGAAGCAAATATGAAGAGCCACTTTTTATAGTCAAGAGAGATTGTTGATTGCAGAAAAGCCTATAGGGGTTACTAGTGATTGATTGTATATCTATATCTTGGTGTTTTGTTGTCTATTGTTCTGGAATAACTTGAAGATGTCTGGAGCACAAGATCAAATGGAGATTAAGTTTAGGTTGATCGATGGATCGGATATTGGCCCGAAAAATTTTCCTGTGGCTACAAGTGTTGCAACCTTGAAGGAGGATATTATAGCTCAATGGCCTAAAGGTTGGTTGAATCTTTCGACTCAAAATGATCATGCAATCTTGTATTCATATGACACACTTAGTAAGCTGGATTAGATAGCACTTGAAGTATTTAGGAAGAAAAAGAAACTAAAATCTTGTTCATTGTACTTTCCATTTATGTGGAGTACTGAATGCTAGACGAGCGCCTATTGCTTGATGGTTGTAGTTATTGAATTTCTACGACTATGAGTATCCATGTTGTCGAATGAACTTGTCATTAAGATGCATGAAGGATGAACATGACCATGTTGGATGGGGTATTTGTAAATATGATTTTTTTTTTTTTTTAATATCCATAGGAAACTGGCATGTTCGTGTAGATCGGGTAATGGATGTGGCCCTTTAGAAGAACTGGTTATAGAAATTTACACAAAACTGATATAATGTTTGTTCAGATGATCTGTCAAAAAGTGAAAATTTATAAACGTTGATTCTGCACTAGCACAGATTTTCCTTTTCGGATTAAACTGGAAGGGGAAAAGTAGTCTTGTGACCACCAATGTTTGACAAAGTTACAATTCGAAGGGTTTGAATTTTTTGCAGTCTATTATTTCTATGTAAGACTGTGATTGTTGCGCCCCTACAATAGAAGCAGCCTTAGGTAGAAGAGCCCGCCGTCCTCCCCAACCTGAGAGCACGTGAAAGACAAAGGAAAATAACAAATTGCTTGTAGCCTAAACTGATTTCTGATTTTATGGCATTACCTCTTCCCATTTTTGTTGCTTTGGCATGTTTTTAGCATATTTTTTTATGTTTAAGCCATTCATCCAAGCATTCTTTTTTGAGCAGAGAAAGAAAATGGACCAAAGACAGTAAAAGACATCAAGCTAATTAGCGCGGGAAGAATATTAGATAACAACAGAACTGTGGAGGAGTGTAGAAGCCCATTATACGATATTCCAGGAGTAGTCACGACCATGCATGTTGTGGTTCAACCACCAGCAACAGAAGGTTCGATTCACCTAATTTGTAATCCTTTTCAGTGAATGACATTAAGTATCAATGGATTTTGCCTTTTTAAGAGAAACTCGTGACCATATTTATTATACAATTCGTGACCGAATAAGAGAAACTTATTTTCTCTTTGCTTTCTTTTTCCCTTTTACTGCTTGATTTAAAGTGGTCAAAAGTTCTGGGCTGATTAATTTTTCTCTCCTGTTTATTCTTCTATTAATCTTTAGCTTACCTTTAGCGAGATAATCTTCTTTGACGTAACAGTAAAGAAGTCTCCAAGTGACTCGAAGCAGAATAAATGCGTCTGCATAATATTATGAGACAGTTCCTGAAGCAAAACGAGAGACATTTGCAGGTTTGTAATTGTAGCTTCTCGACTCCATTTACTCGTGTTGATGAAATATGTGCTGAATTTTCTTTGTATTCATTGTTCTTGTGCAGATAAAAGATTGCTCGAAATGGTACAGTTGAATTGCTGGTTAATGCAAAACAGGTGGTGTCTTGCTCTAGGTCCAGGCGTTCTGTTCATATATTCAGTCAATTTCACATCAACATATAGAATTTTTTTTTTTTTTTCTCTTCAAGTGAAGATCTATGTCGTAGTTTGGAGTAAATGAAATCAGAATCATTGTTTCAATTGAAGTCTTCAATTCAAATTTAATGGTTTGGTTTCAAGATTTTCTTGATCAAGCATGAAAAGTTCCTTGTGAAGAGCCGTGATTCAAGAAACAGTTGTGTTAGGCAAGGCCGTGGAACATTTTTCTATTTCATCAGCAAAAAGTTACTTATTTTGATAGTAAAATAAGGAATAACATGTTTAACCAATTATGCACTTAATTCCCTTTAATGACTATCTCCATAGGAACGAGTCACCACTTGCTTCTTTATTTTTTATTTATTTATTTTTTGGGAGGGTTTGCAAGAAACCTCGTATAAAACATGGCATTACCACTGTTTAGCATTGTTGTTTAATAAAACAGAACAATAAGGAAAGCATCTTTATTTGCAAAAGAACTAACTTTGAAATATAAAATTATATGATAATATATTAATATAAAATTGCTCCATTTTTATTAAAAATTCAAATTTCATTGAATAAATTTCATAAAATAAAATTTCAAAATTTCAAATCAAAAGTGTTTTTTAATTTTCTGTTTTGAGAAATTTTTTAAAAATCTCAAAATAAACTTTAATTTTTTTTTTTTTAAAAATAAACTCAAAACTGAAAATTAAACACAAACCAAATGGATTCTTAAGGATCTGGTTCAAATACTTCCTCTGAAAATCGAGAAGCTTTTTTTTCAGACATGATGAGGAATTGATGATACGTCTCTTCTACATGGTGACACCTTTCTCCATCGACCCCAATCATATTATATATCAGAGAAAAAAAGGGAAGGTAAGAAAAAGGCTGCACAGAAGAAAGACGACCCCCCCCTCTCCGTTTGATGGCCATAATTGAGAAAAAAAAAAATGATGTTTTAAATTGTAATTTTTTTGGAGAATATGTAGATAAAAAGTAGGAAAAAGATTCGGGTTCGCGTGCGAATAAGGAAAATATTTTTTAATGTGATTGAATATGAGTCCGAAAATTAAAGAGTTTTGTTTTAAATGTACAAAGAGAGTTTAATGGTATCTCCAAAAGACTCTATTCATAAATTGCATCATATACATAATAGAGAACATCTTTAAATTTAGAAAGTAATTTTTTTATACACTCCAACAAGCTCTCTATTTTGATTCTTTCTTTTTGTTTTTTTCAATGAACATTCAATAATTTCTCCACATATTTTATTTAAATATAATTTTTTTATATATTAATCAACAATCAATTCAAATGTAATTTGAAAAATTTAAATTGTAGAGTATTGAACTTTGTAATATATTAAATGCAATCATTGTACACTAAGAATAAAGTGGGTTTGGCTCTCTAAATTTAGAGAGTCAAACACACACTATTTTTAAAAGTTAAAATAGAGTCACTTTAAACTCATTTTTAAGTATCGATCCTCTAAAATAGAAAGTATTTTATATTTAAAACTAATATGAGATTAGGTGCAGAAAATAACCACGTTATAAAACGAATAGAATCTGTAGACAAGTCGACAACAACCTGATGGTTTTCTCGGCTGCATACTGGGATTAAATAAATGTTCGACGACTAT